CCAACCAGCCCTAAACAGCCACTCCTCAACTGTCTTTGCCCCTTATCACTTACAATGAATAATTTATGCAAAATTCTTGATTGTTTTGTATATTCTTTTTATTTCAAGTTGCAACTGTTTTGTTCTAATTGAGACCCTGAGGGGAAGGAGCAAGCTTAGTTTCACAATGTTTTCCTTCAAACATCCATCAGACTTTCCTTTCTTATACCCAAGACCAACTGCCACAACTCCGTTGTTATACTAGATAGTTCTGATAGTTTTAGCTCATTTAGCTCTTCTAAAACACTTAAAGGGTTATTCCAAGAACCATGACCACTTCAGTAATTTGAAGTGGTCCTGGTGCCTGAGATCTCTATGTGCCGGGTAACTCATCCTCTAGCAGAGTCATTACACAGGAGGCTAAATAATGTCAATTGTGCAAAATTTGGGTCTGATTTCCATACGCATAGCATGCTGGCGTAGGCAGCCAATGGAGTCATGCACCACAACCTTCGTGCTGTCCCTGTCCTCAAACAAGCGTTTTATAAAACCACTGATTTTAGGTTGAAGTTACCCTTTAATATGAGTTCCTTCACCCTAGCAATAGGAACGTAGATTATAGTGTATGGAAGGAAGAGGACCAGCATCTAAATTATCCAGAGCACGCTCAAATCCTTAAGGATAATACTTAAATAAAGATAACTGCAATATTAGGTGAAGTATCAATATAAAACAGTATTATTCCACCAGAGTGTGGACCTGGCAACATGTCGACCCACTCAAAGTCTTTGTCAAGCCTTGAAAAAGTTTATTTGTAATTCACCTGGTGTTACAGTTATCTTCATTTATGTATTTTCCTTTTGGAGTTAACTTATGATAGGAAATACCTAGGTAATCCTAAACAAACAAAAGAGATTGCAGAATGCAACTGTATTTTTACACACCCCAGTTTACTTTTTATTTTTTGCCAGAACCATTGCTAGCATTGACTGCCACAAGCAGCTTTCTTGTATTACAGATACACACGTTGGATGGACAACTTGTGTGATGTTCAGCTGAGTTGTTTCCATTGTACAAGGTAGATGGCCCAGTTACAATCAGTGCATAATCTAATATATTTATGTAATTGATGGTTTGTTACATACCAGGCGGGTATTTTTATTGACTAGGAGACATGATCTTAGAATTGGAACTGAGATATGTTAGGTTAATTTAATTGCTCATTGTTTTAATTTGTGCATAAAGATGAGCTCCATAGATGTCTTAGTTTTAGAGAAACACAACCATTGTATTCCCGGGGCCAATGGGAATCACCTAAATTATTGATTCTCGGTCTGCAGTATCTGTTCCAGGTTTTTAGATAATCCCATAAGAGAAAGTGAATTCATCACAATGATAAGTTAATTTCATTTTTTGTGATAACAGTTCAGGAAACAATTTTCCCACACAGGGGATGCAGTATACATGCAATAAACGGTATATGTAGCAGCGAAGGTTTAGCAGTGTTAAAGTAACATTTGCCTATGCAGAGGCTTTTGATTTGGTAGAACAGTTATGGCAATTATCAAAAAAATAAACTGGTTGTCCCCGCAGGAGAGGCCTATGGTTCAGTTAGTTAGCATGGGACATGGTTACTGCAGTCAATGTGGTTTACTCATATTGGGAATGAGTATAGGTGTTTATGAGCATCGTGGCTGCCTGTGATTGTGATGTGTAGCTTGGGGTTGGTTGTTCGTCTGCAGCTTGTCATCCGTTCCCAGGGATTGTGTAGGGTGGGAGATGTGGGTCCACTTCCGTGGAGTATGTCGGAGAGCTCCTGTCAGGGGTCTTCTGGTATTTGTCTGGTTATATGCCAGGGTAGTGGGCTGGGCCCTGGTTGGAGGGTCAGAGATGAAAGGGTGGATGAGAAAGAGAAGGAGGGAGAGAGGGGGAGAAGGAGGGAGAGAGGGGGAGAAGAAGGAGAAGAGAAAAAAAAGGGTAGAGATGGGGGCAGGTAGCTCCCACCACTCCAGTCTCGCTTGAGCACTGACCCTAGTTACCGCCCCAGCCCTCTGTACCCTGAGGGCTCCCTCAGGGGTATCTCTCTGGGTGTCCCCCGTCTGCCCTCCGGCTGTTCAAGCAGTAGTCAGGAGTTGTACGAACTTGTTTGAGGAGATATGTCTCAGCCAGAGGAACCTTCTCTTCATGTTCCTTTCTTTATCTTTCACCGAGGTTGCCTTCAGGTCTTTGAATTTCCTCGTATCCTCCACCTCCTCCACCCATCTCCTGAGTGGGGGGTGCATGGTTGTTTTCAGTATATTGGGATGATAGTTTTTCCTGCGTTTAGGAGTCTTGGAGTCACTGATCTTTTATAGGCCAGCATTGGCATTTATGGTGTGATGGAGGAGATATGGGGCCGGATTCTGTGGTAGGATTTCATCAGTCACTTCCCGAATCACTCAGCCGATCATTTCCCAAAATGGTCTAAATAGGGCGCAGTCCCACCAAAGCTAGATGAAGGTTCCCTCCTCCTCTCCACATCGCCGTCAGGCGTCGGGTAATCCCTGGCGTGAAGGGCGGCGGGGGTGATGTACCATCTTGTGAAGACTTTATTCGCGTTTTCCTGCAGTCTTGCCGACCCCGGAGTCTTTTGCACATGAGGGATGATCTTGTCCCATTCTGCTTCCGAGAGTGTTTCGCCGAGATCCTCTTCCCACCGACTGTAGGTACTGGCCCATCGCCAGTGTGGTGTAGATCAACGAGATTGCTCTTGGTTGTATTGCGTCCTGCAGGCAGAGGGACTGGAAATCCGTTCGGTCTGAAAGTAGGCACGGTCTTTGGGGGATTGAGCGGGTGTAGTTCGATATTTGCGCTCTCGCCATAGTGTGTAAAAATGTGGGACAAGGGTGGTTTTTGGACGTATTGCGGATGGTTTTAATAGCACATCGGCTATACGGAGTATTGTGTTACTGTTCGTCAGGCGTGGCAGAGGCCCCTGGTCTCCTGCCGGGAAGTCCGGGTTGCCTCTCAGGGGGAGCATGGGACTGGGATCTGTCGTAAGGTAGTATTTGGTGCCGTTTTGGTGGCAGATATGGAGTGTGGCTTTCACAAATGAGTTTGTGAGGTTAAAGTGTTTGCTCGCTTCCTTCGTGATCCAGGGCATAGTCCTGAGGTCACAGTTGGTGCTATTTGCCTCTAATTGCACCCAAGGTTTGTTGCGTGATGTCACGGACCAACTGATAATTCTCATGAAGTGAGCTGCTAGGTGGTACTTTCTGAAATTTGGTAAGGCTAGGCCGCCTTTGAGTTTGGGTATTGTCAGTTGGGAATGGGCTAATCGAGGGCATTTGCCTTTCCAGATGAATTTGCGGACTGCCACTTGGATGGTGGTGAAGAAGCTCTTTGGAGCCGTGACTGGTACTATTTGGAAGATAAAGAGAAGTTTCGGGAGCAGGGTCATCTTGACCGCATTCACTTGGCCAAGCCATGAAATGTAGTAAGAATTTTAGGCATGTAATTCCTCTACTAAGGATAGGTGTGAAGTTGTGAGCATAAAGGTCTGCCGGGTCTTGCGTGAGCCATATCCCCAGGTAGAGCATCTGGGTTTCGCACCAGCGGAAGCAAAAGCGGTGTTGTAGCATCCACCATTGGGCATAGGCGTGCGCAGCCTATTGCATTAGGATGTGCACCCTAAAGCACAAACACACTGCTGTGTGTGTGCAGCATGAGGGTGGTTTGAGGGTGTTGTGTGTGTGTAAGGGTGCTGTGTGTGAGGGTACTGTTAGTGTGATGTGTGCTGTGTGTGGGTGCTGTGTGTGTGCGTGCTGTGTGTGTGCTGTGTGTGTGTGTGTGGGTGCTGTTTGTGTGCTGTGTGTGTGTGTGTGTTTGTGAGGGTGCTGTTTCTGTGCTGTGTGTGAGAGGGTGCTGTATGTGCGAGGGTGCTGTGTGTGTGTGTGGGTGCTGTATGTGTGTGAGGGTGCTGTGTGTATGTGTGTGCTGTGTGTGAGGGTGCTGTATGTGTGTGTGTGCTGGTAGTGTCCACCAGGGTGGGAATCGGCAAGGATAGACTCGTTGAGGTGCCAGGAGCTCTGGCAGGGTCAGAACAAGGGAGACTTGAGTCGCATGTGGACGGAGTTATGGTCCGACCAGGTCATGGGCAGAATTTCTGATTCAACAAGAAGGATTATGTGATGGTGTAGTAGGAAAAAGTAGTCCAGCTTAGAGTAGGAGGCGTGCTTTGTGGAGTAGAAAGTATAGTCCCGCACTGTTGGGTTCAGTGCTCTACAGCTGTCTGTAAGTTGGTGGTGATGGAGCAGTTTGAGCGTTTTTGCATGTCTGTTGTGGGTTGTTGTCACGGGGTTCATATAGGTATCTTGGTGGTGTAGGGACAGGTTCAGGTTTCTGCCTATAATCAGGGTGTCCTCTGTGAATGTCATCAGGTTGTTCATGATTGTGCTAAGGAATTGGCATTGTTTGGAATTAGGAGCGTAAATGTTCGCGAAGGTGTACTTCTGATCGTGTATTGTGCCTTTCGTGAAGATGTATCTGCACTGTTTGCATCTTGTAGGTGATCCACCTGGAGAACAGTATTCCCACCCTATCAGGTTGTTGCTAAAGAATCCCAGCGGGAAGTTGCGGCCTCGCAAGGAGGGCGCCCGGTTCTCTTGAAAGTGCAAAGAATGCCATTGACGTTCGGTATCGTTTAAGGTCGCAGAGAAGTCAAGAGCGTTTCTCGCGGACATTAAATCCGTGAACATTATAGGAGAGGAGGTCTAGTTCCTTCAGGATGTAGTGGGTGTCCCCCGGGGCCGGCATCCCCAGAGCGGCTTGCAGGGGCGTAGTGGGGATGAGGAGAAGGGGAGGGAGAGAGAGAGGGAGGAGAAAAAAGGGTAGGGAGGGTAGGTTTGGTTAGACCCGTCAGGTCCAGGTGTAGTTACAGGTCAAACGTGTCCAGGCAGTGGGCCTCACAGGTCCAGGAAGTCTGGGTACCTTGGGTTACTCCCAGAGGGTACGTTGGAAATCTGGAACATCAGCAGGTGCCCTTATGGTGTGTGTGTGTCCTGTCCCCTGCGGGCAGACTGGGAGAAGGGATACCCCCAGCGGTAGTGGATCCCTGCCGCCTGGAGCACCGTCATCACCGGCCAGAGGGCTTTTCTCACCTGTAGTCTATAGCGGGATAGATCTTGGTAGATCGAGATGAATTGGTTGTCCAAGCGGATGGTGCCCATCCGACGGGTAGTGCGTAAAATATCTTCCTTCAAAGTGAAGTTTTCCAGGCAGCATACAATATCTCTGGGTTGTTCTCCGGATGCAGGTGGTGAGAGCAGTGTGCAGTGGACTCTGACTAGGCCCAGCCTAGGGAGCTGTTGGCCTCCCAGCACGTGGCCGAAGATGGTGCGCATGATTTCAGGGATATTTTCAGCCGGGCCCCCTTTTCTCACTCCTCTGACACAGAGGTTCAGCCTGCGGCCTCTATTGTCCAGGTGGTTAAGTGGGCCAGGCTTGACTCACAGCTGGTGACCGCAGTATGGGTCGCGTCTGTGTCGGCACAGAGTGCTCTGGAGTCGGTCTCTGCTATTGTTATTCTGGCATCCATATTTGCCATGTCGACTCTGACCTGGGCTATTTCGTTGCAGACCATCCGGTTCAGGTGGTCAGAGAGGGACTCAAAGTCAGCCTTCGTAAGTAAGTTAGGGAATATGGCTCGTAGCTCCCTGTCTAGCGCCAGATGTGCCTCAGGTGAGTTGGATGGGGCTGGTGAGAACCATGTGGGTGTCGTGGAGGGTGAATACGGGGTCTGCTGAGGGCCTCAATTTCAGGTTGGGACGTGAAGTCCCATGGCGTAGTGAGGTATGGGGGTGCCAGGGGGTTCAGACGGTCGTTTGGAACGCCCCATGCTTGGCTGGCGGTGCGTGAGGTGAGCTTTGTAGTGCGATTTGTATCGTGGGCCATGAGGAGCTGTAAGGTTATGCGGCCATTTTCCTCGACAGCCAGACACGACCCCTCGTGAATTTCATTTTTTGGACTGGAAACATAGTTGACTTGGAGATTATTTTGGAATTCTGCTGTTTTCCCCAAATATTTGAAATTCGGTTTGACTTTTCAATAGTTGAGGGATCAGTTAATAACCCAGATAGTTGATGTTGTTTTCCCTAAAATGTGTAATTCACAAGGTTCCTAACAATATGCTATTTAATAAATAACACTTGTGGTGTGCCTTTTCTTGTTCTTTTCCCATGTCCAATAATGTAGCTGTTAAGCAATACAAAAAATGTAGAGAGACAAGGTTATCAAATTAGGTCACATTTTTTGTTTTAGTGAGTGGAAGTGGAAATTCTGCTATTCATTTTAAAGTGAATGTGTCAGGAAAGATTTATTTTAAATTGGTAGATTGCCTTTAATCAATGAATATATAATCAATTATAGCATGAAATATATGTTGTTGTTGTTGTTATTATTATTATTATTATTATTATTATTATTATTATTATTTATAATGAAGCGCCAACAAATTCTCCAGCTCTGTACAATGGGTGGACTAACAGACAAGTATTGTTAACTAGACGAGTAGGAACACGGGGGGTTGAGGTCCCTGCTCATGCTAGAGGCAGTGGGGTATAGTGACACAAAGGTAAGGTAGTGTAGAAAAGAAGATTGTTAGAATAGTTTTCACTGAGTGCGCAGTGTGTGTTTTTTTTTTTCTTTCTTTTGATGACAGTTACAGGAAAGGAAGCAAGGTGCGGGTAGGGAAAGCTATTAACAGATTAATTGATATGCTTTTCTGAAAAAGTTAGTTATCAATTTTTTAAGGAAAGCATACTGGGTGAGAGTCTAACAGAGCAGGGAAGGTAGTTTCACAGAAATGGTGCAGCCCTAGAGAAGTCTTAGAGATGAGAATCAGAGGAGGGAAAAGGTCTTCGACAGAGACTACACAGGACATACTTGTGTATTAGGGAGCATAGGTAGGTAGGAGCAGCATTTTGTATAGGTTTGTAAGCAAGAACCAGAATTTTAAATTGAGCTCTATATCTTATGGGAAGCCAATGTAGGGTCTGACAGAGGGGTGAGGCGTGTGCTGGTGGACAGGAAGATGAACCTTACTTTCATTATAGACTATAAAGGAGCAAGTTTGGAATACATAAGGCCAATGAGAAGCTGATTGTAATAGTCAAGGCAAGAGAGGATAGCGGCACAGACAACACCTTAACAGTGTCCAATGTTAAATAGGGGAGGATCCGCGCTATGCTTTCGAGATGGAAGCAGCAGGATTTGGTGATCGACTAAACATAAGGGGTGAAGGAGAGGTTTGTGTCAGGTCTGAGAACACCTAGACAGCGAGCCTGTGAGGTTGACCTGATAGTAGCACAGTTGACTTGGAGGGAAACATTCACGTTAGTAGAAACACTTGACGAAGGAAAGACAAGAATGTTGGGGAAAATATTACAACAAAGAAGTTTGGTTTTGAACAGGTTTAGTTTAAGGAACGGAGCAGCCGTCAAATTAGAAATAGCAGAAAGGCAGTCAGAGACACCAGTGAAAGGGAACAGCCAGAGATCGGGAGAGGACAGTTAGATCTGCATGTCATCCACATAGAATGGTCCATGGCCCCAGGCAGCACTCCCAAGGAAAAGTGCCATTTATTTTTATTAAATATATTGTTAAATGCGCAATATATTTAATAAAATGTATTCCCTAGTGGTCCGGTGCTAGGTGCCTCCTCTTGACCCACTCGACAACAAGCTCTCCCTCGTGGCTCTGGCGCTCAGTGATGACAATGAGTTTCCCAGTCTGTGCTCTGAGTCATCACTGAATGCCAGAGCCACGAGAGAGAGCTTATCAAGTGGATCCACAAGCTCCAAAAGGATTAGCCTGGGAAGCAGCCACGAGCTATACACTGCTGCCAGGTGTGTGCCAGTGAACTGACTTTTTACTATGTGGGTTCTAGTGAACTGAGCTTGTGTGTATGTATGTCTGTGTGTATGTGTATTAGTGAGCATGTGTGTATGTATGGAGAGCAAAAAATGGGTTGCAAGAGTATTCTGAGGACGGACAGCAGCTAAAATAGCCTGCCCTTCAGTGGGTCCTCGCTCAGTTCTCAAGCGGGTTTTAGCTCATCTTGTGCCATTACAGAGAGAACATATCTGAAGCATATCAGACTGGTCCCACCCATACGGGCAGTCCAGATCCGAAATGCCAGCAAGTTCTCTCTGCATGAGAGATACAGCAACCCCAGACAATCGTTTCAGCCTTGTTAGGCATCGTCAGTGAGGCATAGCTGATATCTCTCTAGGCACTGTGAGCAAGGGGTCCACGTCTGGATTACCCTTTAAACTAATGGAGAGCAAAAAATGGGTCACAAGAGTATTCTGAGGACGGACAGCAGCTAAAATAGCCTGCCCTTCGATGGGTCCCTGCTCAGAACTCAAGCTGGTTTTAGCTCATCTTGTGCAATTACAGAGAGAACATATCTGAAGCATATCAGACTGGTCCCACCCATACGGGCAGTCCAGATCCGAAATGCCAGCAAGTTCTCTCTGCACAAGAGATACAGCAACCCCAGACGATCGTTTCAGCATGTGTGTATTTATGTCTGTGCATATGTGTGTCAGTGAGCTTGTGTGTATGTATTTCTGTGTGTCAGTGAGCTGTTGTATAGTGACCTTGTGTATGTGTGTCTGTGAGCTTGTGTGTAGTAACCTTGTGTGTCAGTGAGCTTATGTGTAGTGACCTTGTTTCTGAGAGCTTGTGTGTAGTGACCTTGTATATGTGGGTCAGTGAGTTTGTATATAGTGACCTTGTCTCTGTGTATCTGAGCTTGTGTATGTGTTTCAGTGAGCTTGTGTGTAGTGACCCTGTGTCTGTGAGCTTGTGTGTAGTAACCATGTGTGCTAGTGAGCTTGTGTATAGTAACCTTGTGTCTGTGTGTATGTGTGTCATTGAGCTTGTGTGTAGAGACTTTGTGCGGTCCAATTGCCGTGTTGTCACTTTGAGGAAAAAAAGTTGGTTTGTATTGTGGTTTGGGCACTCGAGCTCAAAAATGTTCGGCATCACTGTCTTAGACCAAGAAATATGGAGGATAAGAAGAAGTTGTTGATGATCAACAGTGTTGAAATCAGCAGAACAGTCAAGGGGAATTAGGATAAAATAGTGACCACTAGATTTTACGGTGATTAAATCATTGGATACTTTGGTCAGAGCCATTTCAACAGAGTGACAAATGTGAAATCCATACTGAAGTGGATCAAGCAGAGACTTGAATTTGAGGAAGTTGGTTAATCTAACACCACTCTCTCAAGGATCTTGGAGGCAAACGGTACTAGTGAGATAGTGCTGTAGTTGGATGTGGAGATAGGGTCAAGGTTGGGCTTTTTTAAAATCATGAATATGGTTGCATGCAAGAACAGTGAAGGAAATGTGCCAGAGGAGAGGGAGAGATTGAATATTTTAGTGAGAAGGAGAGCAAAAGCAGAAGACAGAATGTTAATGGGATACGAGGAAATAGAATCGAGGCAACAGGTGGTGGGGTGGAAGGACCAGAGCAGAGCAGAAACCTCTTCTGCTGTAGTGGGTGTGAGTGAGCATAGAACAGCAGAGAGAGTTGAGTTGGGGGAAGTACTGGCAGGGAAAGGAGATAGATTAGTGATTTCTTTCCTGATCACAGAATCTTCTCACTGAAGGAAGTTGCAAAGTTTTTAGTGGTCAAGTTAGTAGGATGAGCAGCAACAGGACGAAGAAGAGAGTTAAAAGTGTGAAAGAGGCAATTGTGCTCATGGAAGAGTGTGGTTATGAGGGTATTGAAGTAGTTTTCTTTTGCAGAGTAAAGAGAAAAGCTGTATGAGCGTAGCATAAATTTATAGTGGAGGAAGTCAGATTGAAAATGAGACTTTGTCTAGCAGTCATTTAGAGGTACCGGGTCAGCTCAGTGTACCAAGGTTGTATTTGGGCTTTGTTTAAATGTAGGAGAGTTTGGAGGTTGGTGGGATTAGCTATAGGTCAAGACACGAGAGGTTTCTGCAAAACTAATGTATCAGGGTGATATAATTTGGGTACGGGGTATGCCGATGTCAAAGTTCAGCAGTTGGTGGTCAGTGGAAATGAAATATTGGAGAGATTAGAGGTGGTGCAGAGATTGCTTTAGGAGTTATTGAGTAAGTACTTATCCCTTCTTCAACATTGGCATGGTTGTCATGATCTTAGGCTGTTACACTAGTGTCACATTCATCCCCAAATGCCCTCTACCTCCTACACACCTAACAAAATTGTCTTAACAGAAAACACAATAACACTTCCCATCACAAGGGGAGGACTGACTGCAAGCTGGCCCCTTTGACAGTCTTGGTGCCTTGGTTTTCTTTACGTCACACATTCCTCCCAACCATCCCAATTTTCGCAGGACAGTGATAATTTTCGATTTCTGGCCTGCCTTCCCGAGGTTGTTCCCTGGTGTCCCCAAAAGCGGGACACAACAAGCATAGTGTGCACAAATTATTAGACAGGCTTACTGAAATAGTGCTTGCTGCATGGTCCGCCCTTGGTGGGCCAGTCTATTTTAAAAGGTAGGCAACTTGGCATACCTATCAATTCTACAGGCGGACCCGCTCCCTTTCCATGCAGACCCACCCCTTTGGGTGGAGCCAGTGGCACAAATCACACCACTGGCCCACCCCCTTTTTACCCCTCCCACTGGCATCACACTTATGCGTCAGATATATGCATATACAATGCAAATACACACACAATCGTTTATTTACTAAAATGGAAATTTTTGAAAATTTACAGTGGAATTAAAATTTAAATTTTAGGCCTTATCATCCAAGCAAAATTATCTGAGCTGGAAAATGTTTATAACGTGGTTAGTTTTGCCTACAATATCTTATTCCTTGTCAGTTCACGATATAATTAATAAACCCCTGTGTTTGTTTGTGTACACAGTATAGAGCAGCGATGACGAACCTATGGCACGTCGAGCCCTGTCTGTGGGCACGCAGCCATAGGTCGCCAGCCTGTACCCGGCTGGACTGAGAGGAAGTGCTCACTGAGAGCACTTCCTTTCAGTCCAGCCGTGTACCGGAAACAGAAGCTCCTGTACCACGGTCTGCGCCGTCCGGCCACGCTTCATTGGGAGGTAGGAGGCACAACAGGGAGGGGGAGAGAGGAAAACTAAAAGGGAGAGAGAGACCCCTAAAGGGGGGGGAGAGGAGAGACCACTAAGGGGTGGGGGGAGAATAGTGACCACTAAAGTGGGGGAGAAGAGATACCACAAAAGGGGTGGGGGGAGAGGAGTGACCACTGCTGGGCTAGGGGAGGGGAGAGACCACTAAGGGTGGGGGGGAGAAGAAAGTGACCACTCAAAGTGGGGAGAAGAGATACCTGCCAAAGGTGGGGAGAGGAGTGACCGCCACTGAAGGGAGGGGAGAGACCACCAAAGGGTGGGGAGGGGAGAGACCACTCAAAGGAGAGACCCACCAAAGGGGAGAGACCACTCAAAGGAAGGAGAGAACCATTAAAGGGGGGGGGAGGAGAGAGAATCACTAAGAGGAGAGGGGAGAGACCACTAAGGGACATGGGAGAGCTCTAAGGACAGAGGGGACAGCTCTAAGGGAGGGGAGGAGAGAGAGCACTAAAGGACAGAGGGGTAGGGGAGAGCACTAAGGGACAGAGGGGTAGGGGAGAGCACTAAGGGACAGAGGGGTAGGGGAGAACACTAAGGGACAGAGGGGTAGGGGAAATCACAGGGTGACAGGAGAGAGAACAAAATGGACAGGAGGAGATGGGAGAGGACTGAGGACAGGAAAGCACTAAGGGTGTCTGTGGATCTGTGAGTGTTTGTGTATCTGTGAGTATGTGTGTGTCAGTGTGTGTATCTGTGAGTGTCAATGTGTATAATTGCCATGTTTAATTGCAGTGTTTGCACTTTGAGTTAAAAAACGTTGGTTTGTATTGCAGTTTGGGCACTCTGGCTCAAAAATGCTCACCATCACTGGTATAGAGGTATGTGTATGAATGCTTTTATGTGTATATTGTTGAGTGAGCGTAAAGCTGAAGAATTGATAGAGACAAACCTATTTTTAAATACAGGGAGTGCAGAATTATTAGGCAAGTTGTATTTTTGAGGATTAATTTTATTATTGAACAACAACCATGTTCTCAATGAACCCAAAAAACTCATTAACATCAAAGCTGAATATTTTTGGAAGTAGTTTTTAGTTTGTTTTTAGTTATAGCTATGTTAGGGGATATCTGTGTGTGCAGGTGACTATTACTGTGCATAATTATTAGGCAACTTAACAAAAACAAATATATACCCATTTCAATTATTTATTATTACCAGTGAAACCAATATAACATCTCAACATTCACAAATATACATTTCTGACATTCAAAAACAAAACAAAAACAAATCATTGACCAATATAGCCACCATTCTTTGCAAGGACACTCAAAAGCCTGCCATCCATGGATTCTGTCAGTGTTTTGATCTGTTCACCATCAACATTGCGTGCAGCAGCAACCACAGCCTCCCAGACACTGTTCAGAGAGGTGTACTGTTTTCCCTCCATGTAAATCTCACATTTGATGATGGACCAAAGGTTCTCAATGGGGTTCAGATCAGGTGAACAAGGAGGCCATGTCATTAGATTTTCTTCTTTTATACCTTTTCTTGCCAGCCACGCTGTGGAGTACTTGGACGCGTGTGATGGAGCATTGTCCTGCATGAAAATCATGTTTTTCTTGAGTGGATGCAGACTTCCGTACCACTGCTTGAAGAAGGTGTCTTCCAGGAACTGGCAGAGACTGGGAGTTGAGCTTGACTCCATCCTCAACCCGGTAAAAGGTCTCTACAAGCTTCATCTTGATGATACTTGTACCCAAACCAGTACTCCACCTCCACCTTGTTGGCGCCTGAGTCGTGGATCGAGCTCTCTGCCCTTTACCAATCCAGCCAATGTGGGCCCATCCATCTGGCCCATCAAGACTCACTCTCATTTCATCATCAGTCCATAAACCTTAGAAAAATCAGTCTTGAGATATTTCTTTGCCCAGTCTTGACATTTCAGCTTGTGTGTCTTGTTCAGTGGTGGTCGCTCTTCAGCTTTCTCCTTTCACTTACAAGTTCTAAGTATTGCACACCTTGTGCTTTAAATGCAGTGATGCTTGCAGCTCTTGAAATATGGCCAAATCCTGGTGGCAAGTGGCATCGCGGCAGCTGCACGCTTGACTTTTCTCAGTTCATGGGCAGTTATTTTGCGCCTTGGTTTTCCACACGCTTCTTGCGACCCTGTTGACTATTTTGAATGAAACGCTTGATTGTTCGATGATCACGCTTCAGAAGCTTTGCAATTTTAAGAGTGCTGCATCCCTCTGCAAGATATCTCACTATTTTTGACTTTTCTGAGCCTGTCAAGTCCTTCTTTTGACCCATTTTGCCAAAGGAAAGGAAGTTGCCTAATAATTATGCATACCTGATATAGGGTGTTGATGTCATTAGACCACACCCCTTCTCATTACAGACATGCACATCACCTAATATGCTTAATTGGTAGTAGGCTTTCGAGCCTATACAGCTTGGAGTAAGACAACATGCATAAAGAGGATGATGTGGTCAAAATACTCATTTGCCTAATAATTCTGCACTCCCTGTAGTTCTTTATCTATACATTTGCTAGCAAGTGAAGCCTGCTAGTACAATGTACAGATGAATTTGTATTTACTTTTAATTTAATACACTTAAGTGAAAAATGTCAGGTACACTTTCATCAAAACTGACCCTGAAAGGTCTGGGCTGTGATCCCATGTAAACAGCGTTATATTATGAATGCAAAAGGATTGATGCAAATCGTACATGTACTGTGCCAGAAAAGTAAGAAGGGTGTAACAAAACCCTGCCATGTGCCTGGGAATGTTCCTGTTACCGGCCCTTTAAGAACTAGCCGGGGACATACACGGGAACAGAGACCTCGGATTAAAGTATATATATTTTTCTTCAGTAAAGGACATCAAGCTACTTACAAGCTGGAGGTTTTTAGTTACTTTCGGGAGGATTTTCTACAAAGCTTTTCGGGACTTTTAAAGCATTCATGCAATTGGGGTACCTAACACTCATACGAATGCAAACTACCGAACACCGGACACCCCTGATACATTATTGTGCTGCAATTTACCTCCCTGCTCAGCGAATCCATGTGTAATTTCAAACACACGACCGCTTTATTGAAGTCCCTGGGTGGCCACCATTTCGGTACTTTTTACACGTGGCCGCAGCCATCTTGACTCCCGAACAGCGGTATTTTGCCGTCGAGTGTCTGGAACTAAAATCGGACACTCGAATAGGCGAACACCGCTGAAACCTCCAGACTACCAGAAATCTGTGCCAAAACTACCGAACGCCCTGCCGTTCAGTAAAAGACTACGTAACACATGGGGATTCTAGCAAACATCGAGATACTCATGGATGGCAAGCCTTTCTGGGCTTTTTTACCCACGAACAAGGGCCAAAACTTTAAAGTGCCATATTTCCTGAACCCCTGAACCGAAATTAGATGATTTTTAAATATGTTGTTTCCCCAGAGTAGGGGGATATTTGGGGTACATCCAAAACTTGGGGAAAAATTTAACTTTGTTAATTGTGTTACAGGCTTATCTGAGGGGAGGAGATGTGTGGGTTGTACCTTATGTTTTATTGGTTGTGTTAATTGTGTGGGTGTCTCCCGTGCATGGGCAGCATCACATAAAAGGAGAGTATCTGCCATTAAAATTCAGTTCTTCTTGACTCTTCAAAACGTAGCCTTGTCTCGTTCTTGAAAGGGCATATGCAGCTTAATCACCTAGCTCTTTTAAGAGCTCTGCCTGGCTCTTTCCTTGGATATAGTGAATGGGAATAAGCAACTCCACCACTATACAGCAACTTGCCGGGGAAAAAGGACGTCTCCAACGGCTGATACCCTCTTACTAACTGGGTAGCCGTTACAAAGGGTGCCAAATAGTGATGTCGCGAACGGTTCGCCACGAACGGTTCGCCACGGACTCCAGTCAGCAGACACATTCCAGCCAATCAGCAGCAGACGCTCCCTCCCAGACCCTCCCACCTCCTGGACAGCATCCATTTTGAAGCTGCATTCTTAGTGAGCTGTCCAGGAGGTGGGAGGGTCTGGGAGGGAGGGTCTGCTGCTGAAATGTGTCTGCTGACTGGAGTCCGCGGCGAACCGTTCGCATCGAACCGCGGTGAACCGTTCGCGAACCATCACTAGTGCCAAATAATTTTTTTTATTTCAAATGGAGTTTTACTTGTTCCTCATTTTTCTTTTTTTTTTGAAGATATGTCTGTAGGTGTGTGTTGTTGTAAAATAACAGAATGACGGCCCCAGATGTGATATGGTAATGGACACAAGAAACTACCTGCCGAAAGGTTGTATAAACTGGCATTCTTGCCCAATTTATAAAAATGTTACAGAAGCATCTTTGCGTCTCTTACAGAGGTCTGCAATTTCAGGAAAGATGGTAACTAATACCCGAGGCACATTTTACCCTCAGGCAAACCTCTTTGCTCTTGTGTGTAAATATAAAATTTGTGTCATTGGAAAACACAGAGTTTTGAGTAGAGGCCTGCTTCCCCTCTAATCGGGGTAGACAGGGTTGTGGATGAGAAGCAAACATGGGATAGGATATATGGTGATATCAGGCACTTCTGCACACATACACAACAGCTCTGTAGTGATTATGGTGCTTGGGGTGTTGCTTTAACCATGAGGGATCCAAAAGGAATTATTTTTATTAATTGGTTTACTCTTGAAGCATATGAATTCTACATACTGCAAGGAAGCCATGCTAGATCTGGAGAGTGGAGACTCTTGGTGCAGTTTAAACTGCTTGGAATTATAGAATGAGAATCTTAGATTTTGTGCCTGCCACATTGTTGCCCTATTAAGTTTCAACCAGGTCACAAAACTGGTTTAGGTAAATCCCTTTATATCATAATATTCCTGGCAAAATATCTTCCATGCAACAGTTAAACAATGTTAGAACTTTTTAAAATATGGCACACAATCAGGCAAAAGTAATTAACATATATGCAGAGGTTGCAAAAAGTTATTGCTGTTATTATTATTTGTCATAAATAACAATGATTAAGTGTCTATCATTTCACAATGTGAAGTAGATTCTTCAAGGCCATATAATTGTCATTATTAAAGATAAAGCAGGGGTGAAATAATCTGTGAAAAGGCCGGAAATCGTACCGCAGTATTTTGAGGTAGAGTGGCCTATTTGTGTAAGGATCAGACAAATTGGGTGTTGGCTACTTGTGGTGACATGTACGTGTGAAATAATAAGAATAGCCCTATTCCTACAAGCTTGCAACCTAACCGCAAGTAAAGATGTACGTGTCGTGTAGTATAGCTAAAAAATGCAGCCACTGGAATATATAGCCCAGTTATTCGTGAAACAGGGAGTTGGAAAGAACTGGAATGGGAAGTCCAAAGTAGCTCAGCTGGAATATAGCTTAGGTGAGATATGTGACTGTTTTGGCACACATTTTGCTATTGCATTGTCAATTGTAAACATGTATTCACTAAACGTCGAAATGTAGCAAATTGAAAAGGCAAACTTTAACAGCTGATTTGGAGATATCTAGTCACGACTTGACTTTATTAGCCTAAATTTTGCCATTGAGATTTCAATTCGTTTCAGTTCCAAGTTTAGTGGATAACAGTAGAAGTGAATAAACTCTGTGAAACGTGAAGAGAAAACAAAGAAAAACAACGTGCGCTACTCTCTGTAAATAATCATTAAGCCCATGTTAGTGCTCTGAAGAATGTCAGAGCTTTTCACTAAATTCCAAATTGTAATAAGAGAAAAAGGAGGGTTGCACTCAATCACAAAAATTAACACAGGGTGCACTGAGCATGAATCAGCAAACCCCATACAATCCACATAAATGACAATAAATCTCAGGCACTCACTGTGATATGTTCAAGGCAGTTTTTATTGGATCTGCAGCGTTTCGACCTGTACCCAGGTCTTTATCAAGCAGCTTGATAAAGACCTGGGTACAGGTCGAAACGTTGCAGATCCAATAAAACTGCCTTGAACATATCGCAGTGAGTGCCTGAGATTTTTTTTCATTTATGTAAATTCTAAATTGTAGTGAATTGAACTCAAATTGACAATATATATGCTAAAGATGATTTAGAGAAATTCTAAAAGTTTTGGATTTTTATTCTCTCCAATTTGAGGAGGGCTTTGGCTTACTAGTCAGCAGGTGTGTCTGTTTTATCATGTGTATATATAAAAAAATATATATTTTAATTCACTTTTTTATGTAACTTCAAACATTTTATTCTACAAAAAAAAACAGCAGAACCAAAACTTTCGTAAATTTTGCAGCAAAAGGAAATAAACGGAAAGTTATTTGGCTACGGGCATCTTCTTCAGGAAGTAGGTTTCTTGTTACCTGAAACATAATTACACAGGAATGGTGTTTAAACCAGTCTGGGCTGGAAAGATTCGATCTTTGTGTTATCTGCAATGGACGATCTAGGAATGTCTCCAGAATGCATTGTTTCTTTGAAAATAAGATCCAATGAGAAAGGCTGTTTTCAGTACAAATGGACCAATCAGCAGGATGTCTGCTTATGAAGCAAGACACACAGTCAGGTGTATTATTTGAAGTCTGAAAGAGAATGATTAGTGAAGGGTGGAGTACATTCTAACAGCAGGCAGTAATGGCTTTCTTTCCATGTTAACAAAGAAGACATGCATTCTGGGAGATCCTATTCACATTTATTTTTAGGTAAATGTGGAATGTTTTGGAAACTAGGCAGTCTATATTGCTTCTTTCAAACATTCTATAAATTATTCTACACAACAATCGGCTTTTATTTTTCAGATTGATTCTCTGCCTTTTTTTTCTATTTCCTGGCATTGCTTAATTTGTCTAAATATAAACTAATTTCATTTAAAAAAAAAAGCTGTTATGTATTATTAATAATTGATTGGAGCTCAATCTATGTTTTTTTTGTGAAAAGCATAAATCTGTGCCAGTATACAAAACATACACATATATACGACATACGCAACATGTGTGGTTGAAATGTGGTCCTACTTTGCAGTTTTCATTTATAGAACATAGGTTTGATGCCTTTTACAGATGCAAAATATATTTGGATTTATTCCCTAAATTTTGAATTGTTGAATTTAAGATTTTTTCCAATTTGCCCTAAAATTTGCTTGGCTTTAACAGTAGTTGTTTATTAACCAAAAGGTGAATTGAAAACTAAATAAGTCGTCAAACTAAAATAAAAGTACGCCTGTAGGAAAAAATTTCTCTCGCTTAGTATTATCTAAAAAAAACTTTGCATTGTTGGTATTTATTTTTGCTGAAACTGTTCGTAGTTCACCATAATTCACTTTTAAAGCGGCACTGTATTATTATCTGATTTATTATTATTTTTTTAATATTCAACTGTTCGACAACTTTTCTTACAGGTTAAGTCTTTGGTTACTTAATAAAGTTCCATTTCATGTGCTAAGCAAATTTACCCCCAATCCACCTGTCAAATGAATCCCACAGCAATGTAAATTGTAGACATCACGGACAGAGGAGACAAAATGGCAGCACCTGGGTAATCTGGTGCAAGGAAGACTGAATAATGAATATAAGCAAGTGGGGAGTATATTCATGAGGCGTAAGTAAATGAAAAATGAAAGAAAACAACAACATGACAGTGCTGCTGTAAGTGAATCACCCTATAAATTTTGGTTGTCCTTTGGCACTCCTGTTGTGACAAATCCAGTTTCGGTTTACCACTGAGTAGCGTGTCCAACAAAAACAATTTCTACATATCTTATCAAAGGTAGCATAATTTTGCCAACAGAGATTGTTGTCCTTTGCCCTGTGTAATGAAAAACCCCAGGGACTTTCATGCCGTAAATGTCTGGTAAGTAGCACTGTCTGTTCTGAAGTGGCTTGTGATAGGCTGCAAAACAATGTGCACATTCAAGCCTTTAAAATGTTTAATGTTTAATTTTTATTACTCGTTTAAGCTGTATGTTTTATTTATTTATTTAACTTGAGTAAACCAGTTACTCTAACGCCCAATCTGTGAAAACACTTTTATTGCTTGTGAGTCAACAGGTGTCCACACAAAACTCCTGTCTTATAAAGGCCAGTGTTTTGTTTTTACCATTCATCTTTTACGATTTGTAAGTGTCAGCGAGGTCAGCACGAGGAGTGCCAATGTCTATGTTCTCCCTTTGACATATATTAATGGTTTTTAATGCTGTTTCTGATCCCCATTTTCTGGATATCAAATCTGGTGGGACTAGAGATGGTATCTGGAGGTGGTTATCTCCATCACTAGGTTAAGGGTGTACGGAGAGAGGAGTACATGATGTACTGTGTCAGGCACCTGTATGTGAGTTCAGAGAAGATGTTGGATCTTCTACTTCACTTAAATTGATAAAGCACTGCTGTCTAAGCCTGCACTGAACCTTGGTTTAGCCTATACTTCCAGCCCAATGTTGTATGATATCAACACTATTACTGCTGTATATATTGCAGGACCATAAGTACTGTTGTGTTGGAGCTCAAAACGTATTCCCATAAAACATATTTCACATTTGTTACTCATCAGTTTATAGTTTCACTATGTTGACCCCTCTGGTAAAGAAACACTCCAAACACCATAACCACTACAGAGAGCTGTAGTGGTTAATTTACCAGAAGTGCCCTGGTGCACTCTTATAGTAAGTTGTCAAACCATAAAAAAGGGTTCTTCCCCTGCCTTTCTTCAACCTGCAGTAGGGCCAGAAGCTCCTGCGTAGGAACTTCGGTTAGGTCTCCTGAGTTAAGCCGTGCGCCACCGGCTTGAGCTAAACTGTTCTCAAATGGCTCGACTACTTATACCAGGAAGCACCAGGGCACTCCTAGCACCATAACCGTTGCAACACACTGCAGGGCTTCTGTTGTTTTGGAGAGTTTCTTTAATTCTATAACAGCCGTATTATATCTTTGCGCAATATAACTATATTAATGTCACCTCCTGGTGGGGCTTTGCCATTACATATTATCCATATTTTACCGTACAATTGAAAAAAAAAAAATAATACTCTTGATTTTGTTTTTCAATTTCACTGAGGCTTTAGTTTTCATTTTGAGACCAGTCGATTCTTTGATGATGC